GGCATATTTTAAAGATGTCAATTTTGAAATTTCAATCAAAATCCCCCTAAGTATTTTTGTGGAAATTAATAATTAATTCTAAAATTTATATGGGAATGAAGAGGAGCTAAGAACAGCACTGACAATGTGTTTTTTTTTTTTCTTTTTTTGGAGGAATTGGGGATTAAACCCAGGGAGCACTGAACTATATCCCAAGTCCTTTTCATTTATTGTTTGTGTTGTTGATACAGAGGCTCACTAAGTTGCTCAGGATGGCCTCTAACTTGAGATTCTCCTACCTCAGCCTTAAAATAGCTGAGATTACAGGCATGTGCCCTAGCACAGCATAAGCCTAAAGAACAAAGTTGGAGGATTTACACTATCAGATATAACAATAAAGCCAGTAGTAGCCAGTGTACAGAATATGATATGCAGAACAGACCCAACACATGGCTCTCAGAACCTGCTACAGTGCTCCAGGAACATGACAACCTTTTCAGTAAATGCCTCAGATCAACTAGATATCTACCAAGAGGAAACAAATATCAACTCACATCGCGCACAAAATCAACTTAAGTTTGGGTCTAAATGTGGCAAAATTTCTTGATGATAAGGTAACACCTTCATGATCCCTAAGGTAGACAAAATTTCCCTAAATAGAATACAAAAAGCAGTAACCATATACAAACAAGAAAAAAACTGGTGAACTGGGCTTCATTGAAATGAAGAATTTCTGTTTATTAAAAGATGTGTTAAGAGAGTAAAAAGATAAATCACAGACTTGAAGATGGTACCTGCAGTACATACAAAAGTACATATACTTGTACATACACAGTACTAAACTCTGGAAAACCAAAAGGAAGTTGACAATGCACATTTTTGTAAATAAGAAAGGAAAAAAAATCAAATGTAGTTCACACAAACACACACACTAAAAAAAAGATACAGCCAGTGAACATACAAAAAGTTGTTCAAAATCAGTATTCTTCACAGAAATCAAATTCAAACCATAAAAAAAAAATCAGAGCACATCCACTAAAAATAGATAAAATTAAATATAATGCAATAGGTAGTGTCAGTGAGCAATTGAAACTCTCATAAAGTGCCAGTGGGAGTATAAAATGAGATAGCAAATTTGGAAAACTGGCTAGGACCTACTAAAGCTGAACATTATGTTACGTCCTATCCCTCAGCAATTCCAGTACATATACATCTAATCTGAAATAAATATATGTTTCTCAAAAGGAACCGTGCTGTTAACATTATTATAACTGTCCAAAAGTGGAAACAATTCAAATGTCTACCAATAATACGAGGGACAACTAAACTATAATCATAGTCAAAATATAATAGCACACAGCAGCAACAGAAAGTCGTCCGTCTCCTCATATGCAACCCCACAGAAGCTCAGACATAAAACTGAATCAAAAACACAAGAGCACACACTTAGGGTGTTGCTCCTATGAATTTGTTTTAAATGGCAAAATTAATTCTGGTAATGATCCATATCTTGACTGGGGTGATGCTTAAATGCATATGTTCCCTCCGTAAAGTTCAAATTCCACACTTATTTTTGCATCCTTCTGTGCATATGTAATAATCTCAAAGATTGATGGGTAAAAAGCCTATCTGACAAACTTCAGTCAAATAAGGGAGGTTCAAAACAAAGAAATGAAAATGGACCTGCAGGAAAGCATTGGTGAACACTAACACGACACAGAGCTGATACAGTACCACGCCCAAGCCGTTAGGAAACAGATTATATTCTATCAACTTTGACGATCTAAGCTCACACCATGAAAATGCAGTTTATCTCGACTACAGTATCATGTTAACACGGTGGACAGGTTTTTGCCCAAATCAGAGTGTGCATTTAGGGAGATCTGACCGAAACTATGGGCTGCATGGGATAAACACCACATGAGGTGTCGTCACATCAGAAAGGGAAAGGCCAAACCATCCACCAGAGCAGCTGCGGGCTACGACTGGCCAGGGAAGACCTTTGCTCTTCTTCAACACTGTACCTTGTTGTAGGCTGATTGCCAGCAGAGATTTACTCAATGATGGCTGATGATTTTTCAGAGAAGCTCTAGAAAGACCAATTAAAATAACTAAAAAATAAAATTTAAAAACTAGATAGAACAGGGTGGAAGGAAAGAAGGGCATGTGCACATGACGCACAGGGACAATACTCACTGTCAGAAACTAAAAACCAAAAGGCAAACTGCTGGGCCACACTTAGATCTACTGGATGAATCCCTAGAGACAAGACTCCAGCAATTCCAACCAACAGTGCTTTTCTGTTGAGTTGGGCAGGCAACTTAATCAAACCCTAGAAGAAAACAGCTAATGGAAGTATTAATGTCCTTTTAACTCAATGAGCTCCTTCCAGTAAATTAAGCTCTTCCTAGCCTGGAAGGGATAGAGAGGAATTCTTTAAGGATGGGACTCTGTGTTACTGATCTTTGTAGCCCCAGGGACGTAGCAAAGACCAGGTACATAAATCAGGCCTTATACAATAACTATTGAATTTGATTTAAGAGTACACACTAAATCCAGTAACTACTGCAATGCACTGCCAGATTCTCATGAAAAGTGTTTAGTTGTAATCAACAATGAAAATCTCCGGCTTTGTATTTTTACAGGCAGATTTATACTTGATCTCTTCCTTCTTCAGGCTTACAACATTCCAAAGTTTTGTGATCTAAATAGAACTCCTTGACTACTGGACTGAACACATTTCCAAGTTGGCAAATTCACATTTCACTCTACTTTCCAAATAGGCTGCACCAAATCAACCACAAGTACCAAAAAAAAAAAAAAAAATGGACAAAAGCTTTGCTTCATTCCACTGTTAATCAATTCCTATAAATTTAGGGTAAAGGACTTCTCCTAAGAAGCCTAAAAAGAAATATAATGAATTAATTAAACCTACCTCTTTCAAAAAGAGATGTCAATCTGATAAATACAAAGCACATATACTTCATAATTTAAAAAATTAAGAGCAAGGAAAAGAGAGCAAACATGTAAATGATTATTGTGTTTCTGAGCTTCCTGGTAACTGGAGGAAAAAAAGACAACAGAACTATAGAATGAACTACTAAAAAGGAGATAGCATATAATTTCTCAAAGGAAAAACCTTTTACTTGAAAGGAGCCCCCAACTTTTCAATCAATGGAGGTCTGCTTCTATCTATTTTAAATGAAAGCATTTTCAATTTATTAGGGAAAAAAATGTTTTCTGGCTTGAAAATAAGAGAAAAAAATCTTAAAATAAAACTGGTAATATCCAACTATTTCACTTTATAAACAAAAAGACAACCACATTCAGCTTCAACTACATGGCAATCATGCAGCTTCATGATCTTACCTAACCTAATCTTAACTTTTAATAATTTCTTTTGCCACATAAATAGCTGCACGTCAGCAATGAGTATACAAAACACAGTAAACTAACAAAGCAAATCTCCTAACAGTGCATCTTGGCATAGTAATTTATTTCACCTTAACTGAAGCTTTACACGGGTAGGGATGATCCAACAGGAAATTTCCAGCCTCGTGAGCCAGCCAAGGACACAAGAATTGATAAGGTCACAGATGTTAGCTCCGCAGCAGACTGACCTATTCAGGTGTAAAGTCAGCCAACCTGCAGAAACCACATTTTCTCCAGCATGCAGGTTCAAACTACAGGGATTTGAAATGGAATGGCGAACTGCTCTAGACAAGTTCTCACTGTGGCAGAGACCTTTACTTCTCCGTCAGTGAAACTTTAGAGAAAAACATCATACAGAAGCTAGCTACATTAATGCAAAGAAATCCGTCCTGAGCAACAAAATGCATGCTGCACGTTTAAGCATGTATGCAGACAGTAAGTCAACTGAAAAAGTCAACTCAGGCTTCCACCTGACCTTCCTCATTTCAAACCTGGAGCTGGCTTTCTGGCACCCTGTGGACCACAAAATGGGAGCAGATGCAATGAAAAGAACTTGTGAAAGGAATCACATATTTGTCAAGAAGGTAAAATTCATGATACAATGTTGAAATTCCTACCTGCTTTGTAAGTTAAAGATTTACACAAATCATTTAATAGGCTGCTTCTGATTTTTTTTTTTTTGGTACCGGGGAACAAACTCGGGTCCTTGCACTTGTGCAGCAGGAGGCAAAACCCCTGAGCTAAATCCCTGGCCCTGGCTGCTTCTGATTTTAAGACACTTTGTTTTTAAGCCTTTTCTCCTAGTTGAGGATAGGAGAGTTCTAAGGAAATCTACTGGATTTTACAGAGTTAACACTAAAAATGATCAATAATGTGAAAAGTATTCTTTTCTAAAAGTAATTTTTCTTTCCCATACAAAAATAGCTAATAGTTTTATTAAATAATTTCAGATAATAAAAGAAGTCAGTACATTTACCAATAAACTAGCAAAATTAACAAAAAATTAATAAGTTAATGTACACCTATAAATTTTAAAGTGATAGCAGTTCTTTGCATGTGTGCACATAGTTCTGTAAGTTACTATTTAATATTTCTCTCCAAAAATTAATCCTCTTATATGTAGATATATCTGACATTAAAAAGTAAAATAAGTTCAAATGGTAGATACTCCAAACCAATGAAAAGAAGTTTTCTAATGGTAAGCACTTTGACCATACCCGTAAACAAGGGAAAACTGAGAGACAATACCAACACTAACGGGTGACTTGAGAGAAAAGAATATATAAATTATTAATTTAATGTCTCATCAAAATCTCCATCGCCAGGTATCAGTACTTCAAGTTAAAATCATTTTAGATGTTTAGCAACTTGTTACTAGACATAAGAAATATATACACATCTATTTTTCTACAACCCTCTACACATTATTTTGTTACCATAAAAAGTTTGCAATCACATAGTGGTGATATTTAATTGCCAAGCAATCTGTTATTTTCTTCACTGAGCAATTATTTTACTTCTTAAAAATTAGTATTCGTTGCAATTATACTCTCAAGAAGCTCAAAGGATAACTGAGGAACAAAACTCACCTTTGCTACTGCTTTTGCTTTCAAACTTCCATTCTCCACAATGCTGAGGTCCAGTTTGCTGTCATCCTTACTCCCTACAGCTTTTAGTCCTTGCAAAAGAATATCGCGGAACTTCTGATAAAAAGGCTTCTCAGTATAATCCAGTAATTTCACAGCTTCCATGTATTTAGCAATTTCACCTAGAAGAATAACTTAATCACAAAGTTGATACACGTACGTCTTACTTCTAGGAAAATAATTCAGGATCATAGTAAAATTAGAATGCAATCATATAGTTATGAATTTTTGTTCAATCACTTGTTGAATTCAGGAATTGACAGATAAGTAAAATTTAAAAATTTGAGATACAATATAAAACTCAATTTGTTAACTGTGAGAACCAATAGGAGAGAATACATAATAAAACTTTCAAATATGCATAAAAAGTAACTTTTAGCTTTAAAGCTATAAAAAAATACAAAAGGACCTAGAAAAAGATTCATAAAACAATGAATATCATAGCCAGAATTTTGGGGAAATACAAGCTAAGAGTTATGTAACAGTTGTCTTCTTTGTGTAAATCAGAAAAGAGATTAAGGAATGAAGCAAGGCCCTATTTTTCCAAAGAAGAGAAAAATTGGCTTCTGAATGATAAAAGGTTTACTGCACACGGAGCAGAACCACATCCTTCATAGAAATCCTACCAGTCGAGATCAACACTTCTCAATATTAAAAATCCACTGTTGGGCCAATGAGCACAAACAGCTCTTCCCTCTGACCTCTGGACTTACATATTCACTGCCACATAATGGTCACCTCAAATTCCAACAAATCCCAATCCAAACTCCTAACCCAACCCCAAAACCTGCTTCCTGAAGTTTCCCCTATCTCAGTTACTGAGACTGGCATTCTTCTCACTCAAGCCAAAATCTAAGTCAGTCTTCCTTGGATCTTCTCTTCTTCCCTCCCCACTTCCAGTGCATCAAGACATCTCGTCAGTGCCACACACACACAACAGACATGTGTTCAGTACTTCAAATATTTAAGCACCCACTATGTGCCCGTCACTGTTCTAGACACTTGGGATACAGCAGGGAAGGAAAACATCCTAACCTTACACTTTCTTAATCTGATGGATGGGATCTACAAAACACCTCAAACAGTATCTCTGTATCTGGCCAAATATTGACAACTTTCCCTCTGAGGGAAGAAAAGGGCAAAGCTGTCCACCTTCACTCACAACTTCACCCATGGCCCTCGTGATGCCCCAGTATGCACTCCTCAAATCCATGAGGGCCCCACATGCCACCTAGGACACTCTCCCACCAGACTCCACACAGCTCACTCCCACTGCTGCCCCTCCGGAGTGAGGCTGCCCCAGCTGCTCTATGTACAACTTCAGTTCTCTCCCCGCTGCACTCCCAAGCCCATGTCCACACCCCTCATCCCACTTCCCGTTCACTTTCCCACAGCAGTATGTCCTAACATACTGCAAAATTCACTCATCCGTTTACTTCCTCTCAGTCCCTACTAGCACGTTAGCTCCATGAGGGCAGGGGCCCGACTGCCTCATTCACTGATGTACTCCTTAGGCCACAGTCCAGCCTCAGGAACACCAGCTGAACATGGGAATGACTTCTGCTTCCTATTCCAAAAGCACTGAACAACTCAAAGAGGTTCAAATATTCATTTAACAACACACCTCTGGAAAGGGATGTGCTTTTTTAATGAGATTATACTAATTACAGTTTAAAATGCCTACGTTTCTTACATGAAGGGATACTTCATGGATATCAAGTCTTTTTCCTCCCAGAAAGCAAACTTCTTATGAACATTTAAAAAGTTACTCCTACCTGGCTTGCTTTTCTCAGGAAAACATTTTTCCATCAAACTTGCAATATTGTCTCTGTATCTGTTAAAAATTAAAGAAAGAGTTACTTAAAGCTTGCTATGATAGGATATTAATACTTAGAACCATTAAGCAACATGGCGTTACACTGAAATATGCTTACAGACATTCTCCCAAACCGAACTGAAGTCCAAGGATCTTTGAATTTGGGAGGTCTGATTTTTTTCAGTTCTTTACATATTCTTGATAGTAGACCTTTGCCTGAGCTACAGCTGCTAAATATTTCTTCCCACATTGTAGGTTGTCTCTTAGCTCTCTTGGTAGTTTCTCTTGCAGTGCAGAAGCTTTTTAATATGATGAGATCCCAGTAGTTGATTCTTTGTGCTAGCTCCTGTGCTACTAAAGATTTGTTCATAAAGTCTTTTCCTATGCCAATGTCATAAAATGGAGTACTACTCAACCATAAAGAATGAGAAACTAGAGACATTTATAGCTAAATGGATGCATATTGAGGCCATACTCTTAAGTGAAATAAATAGGACACACGTGTGTAAATACCAAATAGTTTCTCTAGTGTGAGAAACTGAAAGTGTAAATAAGGATGAAAATGATTAAAATCAATAACTGATAATTTGAAATAAGAAAAGGTCCAAGGGTTTGGGGATGGTGGAAGGGAAAGGGGAAAGGAAAGAAGGGAAAGAAAAACATTACGAGAAAAAAATGGAATCAAATTCTGTGTAGATAGGGAAGGGTGGAGGGGGTGAAGGGTGCACAGGTAATGGGAGAAAAAATATAAACTAAGATGCATCATGTTCTGGTACAAACACCCAATGATAAATGTAAATGTATTTTATACCTAAATTGTACCAATAAATATATATATTTAAAAAAAAAAAAAAGTCCAAGGAGCCTTGCCATTGAGTAAGTAATTCCTTACTTCTACATTAGCACCCCTTAAAACTAAGTTCCTGTTAAGTTCTGACTCTAAATATGTGCCTCTCATGATGTTACTAAAAATAATTCAAGTTGTCCTTTACCTAATTTTGGAATCTCGAACATAGTTTGGATCCTTCAAATTATCTTCCCAAGGAAGATGGCCACTAAGCCACTGGATCATGCAATAACCAAGTATTTCCAAATCGCCACGTCTTGATGGGGCTAAAAGTACAAAAGGAGAAAAGTCGACATGCTAAAATAAGTTGTAAGGTATGAAATCAAGCACTTATAAAACAACTCTAACGTCTGTTTTTTCATCATATTTCTAGCCATATAATAAAAGTATTGAACATTGAGTAGTATAAGTTATTTTATCTCCAACTAACAATTTATTTTAAAATCCAAACTGGTAAGCTTTAGGATTTCAAACTCAGACAATCAGTCTAGGAAATATTATAAAACCATGACACATTTAATACTATCTTTGGAAAAAATGAAGATATTAAAGGTGTTTTTTACTACTAAGAGGGCCAGAGAACTGGGTGTTTCAGATCGTACACTATTTTGGTAGAGAAAAAAGAAATGGCTGCTGAAGAAATAAGCTATCACAACACGTGACAAAATAAAAGCTACCTTTTATAAAGCCGTAGTTACACAAGAAACTTACAGACTCTAAAAGACAAAAAGAAAAATTAACCAATATTCCAATTAAGCTATATAAAAGCCCAAATAAATCCTCACTGCAGAGGAATAAAATACCTCGCTGCTACAGCTGTCTTGGTTATCTCTGCAGGGCAGGAGGATGAAGGGGAGAGAAAATGCAAGAGGCTCCTGGAGTTTAACCTCTGCCCTCTTTTACCATCCTACCCTGCCTCTTCTGATTTTTATCTCTATTTATTTATGCATAATTAAGAATCACACAGGAATTCTGCTGGAAACATTAGCAGTGCATCGTCAGGCCAGTGCGGGCAACGTACCCACGCCGTTGTGTGCGTCAATGCTGGTGAATTCAATAGTGCCATCGTGGCGTCTTTTGGGATCTTCTTTATATTCCCTATGAACTCCTTCTGGGCAGTACCGATAAGCAAGGCCATAATCTACCAAATACACCTATAAATTTCCAGGGATTAAGGCAATTAGAGGTGAAATCATTGCACATATACTACTTCGAAACATAGAAATAAAATGTCATCTCAGAGTCGATTCGCCTACAAAGACAAATCATAGTGCTTCAATCAAGTTAGATCCAAAATGCACACAAAAGCAAATATTCAATTTTGAAAACTGACTTCTATTTTTTTAAAAAATCTATCCTTCTTCCATTCCTTCTCATTCCCTTCCTCCCTTCCTTCCCCTTGGAGTGCTGACGACTAAACCCAGGGCAAGACTGCACCTCTGAGCTACATGCTTAGCCCAACACTCTTTACTCTTAGTAAGTGTTAAATGATCATGGTGCTATAGGCCAGATTGGATCACTTGACTTCGTATACTTTTCTAGACAAGTATGTGCTAAACTTGTAATTAATCTTTTCTCCTCAATGTGAGCAAGGCTTATACATCTTACACTTTTTCCTATAGTTTAAAACAAAACTGGGCATAAAGCAAACCACCAGTACAAGTTGTAATACAACTGACATCTTCCACAAAGGGGACCACTGAGTGTAAGAATGCCAACACAGGTGACACAGGAAACAACTGTTCTATTCCTGTTTCGTCACTTGTAAAATAATTGAATGCCAAATTCATAAAATATTTCAAAGATTATAATAATGATTGGAAGAACTTTTAAATGAAGTCCTTGTCTACGTTTAAATACTATACATTAACATCAAATACTATACATTAAATACTATACATCAAATACTATACATTAACATCTTCATAATAAAGGCTAAGTTTGAGTACTATACACGCACATATCTGTGGGCATACGAAAGTGGGCTGATTAGTAGTGTACAACACTATCTAGCTCTCTTCTGTTTCACCTATTGTACACATGTGAATACAACAGGTAAGTGAAGTAAAACTATAAGGACAGATCGAATACTGGAAAAGTACACCCATCCAAAGCAAATACCTGGAAAGATGAGAGCTGCAAAATATTTCCGTATAAACCAACGCAGTATGTTTTAATCATGTGCAGACTGACACGAGTGATATTTTTGTCCAAGTTCCTGTACATGTTTTGTTTTCACCCGAGGAGCGTCTGAGACAAGATGGCTGGGAAGAGCTGAACCAGCTCTGTGGCCGCCTTCAGACCTGCCCGTCAGCGCCATAGGTCAGCAAGCTCCCTCCCTTCCATGCACTCCCAGACCCCAATGTGCACCCTTACTGAAAGGAGAGGCACAAGCAACCACAGGAGACGATAGGAAAGAGGTCACAAGAGAAGGAGAACTAAACAACAGGTAAAGCAGGTCCAAAAGCCATAGAGGATCAGCAAATAATTACATAATAATCACAGTACCCAGCACATTTAAAATACTTAACTCTGCCTTTGTTATAAGACCAAGTAAGAAGTGAGACCACACATTCATTGCAGGGCCCCAACTGTGAGTATCAACCAGACCTTATTTTTGCCAAAACCATGCAACAGCGACAAGAAAATTGTACAGATCTGTCTACTCCAACTAAACTGCCCCAAAAAGTAAAATAACATTAGCTTTTCTCCTTCCCTTAAACAAAGTAAAATTTACAAAGGGAATGTAATAAAGTAAAAAATGCACATTTGAATTCCAAACACTAAGGGTATACAAATTTAGACAGCTCAGATATCTCTGTAAACCAATTGATTTGAATAATCAACATGTTAAAGACCAAATTTTCCAAGTAACAGAACACTTACATTTGATGGATTTCTTGAACAAAGGAAATAAAAAAAGTGACAAAGCAGACAGGCAAACATAATTCATTGGTGTACTATATAATTTTAAGCTTCCACCCCCAAACAGCTATTTGAAATTCGTTTTGTATCACAAGCACTTCTTCTGAATATTATTTAGGGCAAAATAGCCAACTTGATAAAGTGCCAACAAATTGCATCAAAAATGTAGAATGTTAACTAGATAAAACTGTCAAGAAGAAATATTATTATTACCGTATCTACTTCAAAAAGTAAAACTTCTGAGTGGGTTCAAGAGTTCAGAGCAACTGTATCTGTTTTCAAATGACATGTTTTAAAAAGTAGAAACTAAAGCTGTAAAACTACCTGATCAGGGTTCTTGTAGCTCAGAAGAAGATTCGAGGCCTTGATATCTCCATGCACGTACTCGTGCTCATGGATGTACTCCAGGACATCCAGCTACAAGAAGTGTCACAGATAAAATTAATGCAGTACCTAGCACCAGCCAGCAGAGGACCGAGTTTCAACACAAGCTAGTCTTTACTGTAAAAACAGTATTTAAAAGACAAGAAGAATGTAGCTCACATACAATTCTTAAGCTTAGCTGCAAGACAGCTTTCCGAGAAAACCTTTTGGCATTTGCTTCGTATATTTTCTGAAGGTCACTCCCAAAGCGATCTATTATCATAAACCTGTAACTGTAGACAAACAAGAAAAGTCAATGAAAAAAATGTAATTCAGGAAAACCTACTTTGCCATGAGTACTCTGCTTCCAAAGTCATTTTTTCAAGGCACTATTTAGTAAGTCAGTATTCTCACAGAGAGAGAGAGAGACAGAGAGAGACAGAGACAGGGAGACAGACAGACAGACAGAGTTGAAACAATTTCTTCCAATTAGAAATCTCAAGAATTCAGTGCTTTCCTGTCCTGTGTTTTAGCCAGAAGGCCTTTTCCTGGTCTCGGCTAGTTACAGTAGGCAACGTTCAATTTTAAGATAATGCCAACAGAGAATCCAAAAGATTCATCTCTAATAAAAAAATAAATCTGAATGAGAGCACTGACTTTAGTAGTAAAAGCTGGTTTATGTTTCTAGATATTAGCTTCCTTCTTGTGACTAGGTTTCTCTATTCTTAAGGCACAATTCAGCAGAATCAACATTCTGTTAAAAATTAAGACTATCAAGAGATGTTAAAGAGCTAAATTCAATAAAACTGTTTTTAAAAATCTAAAAGGATTGTGCAGTAAATATTCGATGGCCAAAATGTGGGGAAGAACAAATATCCTGGATAACTGTGAGGAGTTTTGGTTTTGTCACAGACTGGCTATGTCACCTTGGCCAAGCCATACAACTTCCTCGGGCCACAATTTCCACAGAAGTAAAATGAGGAAGTGGTAACTCACCCTTCCTGTTCTTTCCCAGCTCTCAAATTCTAGGACTCAGTCTTCTGCGAAGCACTACTACTAATCTGCAGTTAACTGTTCAGCTTTTGCTCCGAGGATCACTTTTATCTTTAACAGTTTTCCCAATTCCAGCTGTTGTTAAATCATTCCCAAAAAATCGACAAAAACCAAGACCATGCTGAAAATGCCTAAGATGCATAAGATGCATAAAACACGATGGTGAGTCCTCATGATCATCGCTGCAGCCAGCACTCCCTGAATTGTGCTAGGAACACCACACTCCTCTAAGAACTTCAGGGGTGTTCACACACTTACACCTCAAACTGTCACTGCTTCTCAGCAGCAGAGTTTGTCTTCTCGAATATGGTGGAGCCATACTTTTAACCACTATACTATATATACTGAAATAAATGTCAGTAGGATACAAAAATTCCACTTACATACAGTAGGACTCTACAATAAAAATACAATATGGCAAGTTCAACAGGGAAGGAGGACCTAACATTGAAAGACAGTTTGTCAAAACAAAACCTCTACCCATTTTTTAACTGAAAGAGAATCAGGGCTCCTCTTATCTACATATCTTATAATACATAAAATAACTGATGTCTATGAAGGTAAAGTGACTTACTTGTCCACAGTCATACAATTAGTGGCAAATATATTCCTTTATGTAAGATCTCTTGGCACCCTGACTTCTAAAATAATAGAGGGCCTAGTAATTTTGACTTTCTGGTTTCCTTTGTATAATAGGTTTTGAAAGATGGAGAGATGAAATCAGGACATATGGACATGTTTGCTTTTACAAATAAATGATATGTATAATTAATATAATAATATCTGACCAACAAAAATACAACCTCTGCTGACAATATGAAAGAGGGATAAAATGAAATAGCTTACTTCAACATAAGATCTACTTAAAAATTACATTAGGTAGGTCTCTGTTCAGATTCACAGATAACCCTTTAATTTCCTCAGTATTCTAAATTACAACTGCCAACTAAAGCATGACTATAAATTGCACAGAAACTGTTACCACATTCTTCGGGAAAGGCTCTATCACTTAGTAGTAAAGTAAAGGTTATTTCCCAGTGACTCCTCTAATGCAAAACCTTTGATGCATATTTTTAGGGGTTTTTTGGGGGGTTTTTTTTGGTACCGGGGATTGAACTCGGGTCCTTGCGTTCTCAGGGCAGGTGGCGGAACCACTGAGCTAAATCCCCAGCCCATGATGCATATTTTTGTGGGGACTTAGATAAAACAATTCAAAGAATGGGAAAATATAAATCAGTACAAATGATTTCATAAGCAGCTAACATTTTTACTGTTCTAAGTGCTAATGCTGTTCTAAGTGATAGTGATATATATATATGATATACATGATATGATATGATATATGTATATTAATCTAAATGAGTTACAGTGAAAAGTAAGGATTTGGGAGGGGGAGGGCTGGAAGAATAATGTTACTGTTTCTTTGCTTTTGAAAAATCTATGAGTATTCTTAGGGGCCTCAACCTAAACTGTAAACCAACCCCTCACACATGACACCAGGACGAGGCACACACTCCTTCCACCAGGGACAGTTCTAGCACCTCCGACTACCACAGACACAATGGGGAATAAGGTGACACTTGCAGGGGGGAGGCAGGACCCGGGCTGGCGAGTGTCTGGCCATCCTGGTGCCCTAAAGCTTCATCAGCCTTCCAACCCCTGCCTTCTGAGGGTCTGCTCCACTCAGGCAAACTTGTTCCAGCAAAACCATCCGTAACAAACTGTACCGAGATTTCTGAGTCCCTCTACTCCCTCCGAGGTGCTCGTCACCTACCCCATGCCTGCCCCCATACTTGCTCGTTTCTGACAGAGCTCCAGGTGGACAGGCATCCATCCCTTTCCACAGGCTCACATGTGGCCCCAAGCCAGGCACTGTGACCACCTCGCTCTTGCAGTGACTTGCTTATGAGCATTGATCAAATTCGGACCCAGCAAACAGAAGCGGGAGTGTGCTGCGGTACTCAGAGGCGGCATCCTGGCAGGAAGGGACACTCACCTGACATCAACACCACTTTCTGCTGTCAGGCGCTGCATCTACACAGGAAGCCTAGAAATGGGGCAGCCACCAGGAACCCATAAAAGGGAGCACTAACAGGAATGAAGACAAGATGAGGGCAAAGGTGCAAGGCAAGAGCCTGGGCCCCTGCTGGCTGCTTAAAATGGCTGAGTGGGGGCCGGGATTTAGCTCAGTGGTTCCGCCACCTGCCTCACAAGCACAAGGTCCTGAGTTCAATCCCCGGTACCAAAAAAGAAAAAAAAGATGGCTGAGTGAAACTTTTCCAGGACTTGCAACCGGAAGCATTCTAACCACATACCTCCAGTTCCAAACTCAATCTACTCTCCAAGTCTCTGCTACCAACCTCACTCCACAAAGTTCTATTCACTCATTCAAATACCTAAAAGATATCAATTATACCTCAAAGTATTAGAGGTTTTCTCCAACTCAACTAGGCCAACAACATTCTCTCCAGTCTCAATTCCTAAGACAACTAAGAGTCAAAACTCTCACAAGTTAGCACTTAACTGTTCTCTAAATGTTTCGTACATGTTTGTGTTCTCTGCTCAGCTAGACTGAAATCCGATTCTGATTTTGATGGGAAGACTATTTATTATTAAATACCAAACAGCGTCCTAAGGATTCTCTTTTTGTATAAAGGATATAGAGGTGTGTGTTTGTTTCAGGAGCAAAACAAAAATACACACAGAGCCCTTTGGGCTTTGTCCCTATTTGTCACCGGGCTCCAGTCAGTGGATACGCCTCCCCCCACGCTCATGCTCACAGCATCAGACTGCAGCTGGGTAAAGGAGAAGTCAGGGATGATGTCGTATTTGTTCCTCTGGTTCTCTGCCTCTGCCTGCCACGCACTCCACATAGCCTAGGTGAAGACTTACTGGTATTCTGGGCACTCACTAAATGATTCTTAACTAAACCAGCTTGACAGTAAATGCTCAGAAAAGAGGGGGGAAAAACAAATCATACAGTTTTTACCTTTTTCCATTTTTATCATGTAGTCCAGATCCCCAATACTTAGGAACACCAAGGTACTTCAGTTTATGGGTACAAATCCATTTCTGAACTATAAGTTAAAACAGATGCTTGTGATTTCAACTGCTAAACAAAAATTTAAAAATTTTAAAAACAAATCATTAAGAGCAGAATGTGTTTATAAATGTAGTTATAAATGTAGCCAAGATTTCACCTTTACTCATAAAATAGGAAAAGCACAATATGACCTATTAGCAAAAAATACTTTACAATCGGGCCGAGGATTTAACTCAGTGGTTTCGCTGCCTGCTGCACAAGCACAAGGACCCGAGTTCGATCTCCGGTACCAAAAAAAAAAAAAAATACTTTACAATCAAAGCATTTTTATTAATCTACAAAATTATTATCCTGCCCTTAACATTGCTTTTAAAATGAAATCTGCAAAAAGCATTTTTAAAAACACAAAACCACAGTACTGCAACTGCAGCTAATCTCTAATTGTAAAAATGTTTGCCTGTCTTTCTTAAGGAGACATTTTTTACTCCAATCTGTAAGTATGGGTTTTCTTCCTTTCAACCCTAAGACATTTTCTCCAACCAGCAAATCAAGATCCAGGAGAGATGGAAGCTTTCCTCCCACCCTACCAGAGATCTGGGATGTACAGAGGGTAGGGGAAGAAGAACAGCAGGGGACCGGAGCATCTGTTCTCGCTCACCAAATTATGTCAACCCCTCTCACTAGGCTAAGTTCTTCAGAATGTAGGAAAATGCTCAAAAATATCTGAAGATCCTTGAGTCAACTCACAGATTAAGGTTCTCAATTTTTAACATTTCCTAAACCAAGTATCATTTGTTACTTTTATTCTATATACTCATATAGGTAAAATCTTTTAACAATGAAATCAGATTTCACATAAATTTTATTTAAATTAAATGTATTTATAAAGCCCCCCCCCTTCCCGGGAAAAAACCCAGGATCTTAAAATGTAATGCTCTAGAGTCCTGATGTAGCTCTGCTCCCCAAAAAATAAATAAAAATTGAAAACTGGTCATTTTAAAAGTATAAACACATGAACTGTATTTCTTACTTTGCTCTGGCTTAGCAGCTCGCTGGTAGAACTTTAATTCAGTAAAAAGAGGGCCATTGTCACTGGGTTCCTTAAAACAGAAGAGTTAGTCAGTACGAGCACTAGTTAAATCCTGAGTCATTTTCAGTGCAACCTCCAAACACATTAACAAATCAATTTTTCTTCCAAAAATTGTATTTCTGATACTTAAGTTTATAACTGTTTAAAGTTCAACTCTTCAGAAATGTTTCAGATATTCTCAGAATAGTCCATAAGTCTTATATTTCTCTCAAGTTCCATTTTCCTAAGTGATAAATTATACAAAACCAGGTATACAGCTCAGACTTTGCAGAAGTTTAAGAAAAACGTTTCAACTAATTTTCATCTTTATTAAGCTCTCCCTTAAGCAAAGAATAGAACCATGTTAACTATATCACGAAGGGGCTACATGGTATTTCTGAGATTTAATAAAATTTCAATACCTGATTTAACCAATTAGTGGCAAAATCTCATGCCTCTCCTGTTTCTGATTACAGTTCTACCTGGTGTTAGCAGGATGGTAGAAACGGCCCTTACACATTCGGGACCTCCAAAGCAAATAAGCGCTGTCCAAGAAATTGTAACCCTTCCATCCTGACTTCTATTCCCATGTGTTCCAAACCAAAGGCTCATTTCCCACAGGACAACTTACAGCAAGAAGAAAGTCGGAACTACATCACAAGTGCTTTCTACCAACCTTACTAGACTATAGTAATTTCACATTTTAAACACTTACAATTAACATTATTTTGAAAGAGGCAAACATTCACAAACAAGAATTGCATAACAAGAAATAACAATTTGTAAGGAATTTTACCCTGTTAAATAAGTACTGAAAAGTGAGAAAGATCTTACAATTTTGTGGGCTTTTTCAATAATGAATTTTATCTGACTAACATTAGTATTAAGTTTGGTATTTTGTGTGGGTTATTATCTTGTTTATTAAGAATCAGAGGGAAAAAATTTAAAAGGGACAAAAACTTCAAGTTAGGAAGCAAACGTTTCTCAACTGATTTGAGAGTTGCTTCTCTTTTAGGTTTGGCAAGAAAATTATTTTGGATGGAATACCTGCATGGCTGGAGTTCAGTGTTCAATAAAGCATTCCAGAAACTGATAAATGAGGCCTATTATCTTAACTGTGAGAAAACTTGTGAAAATATGTACTTTTTGGCTCTTGAGATGCCTTTGGGAAATACTTAAAATGTTCACTGTCCCCCCCCACCCAATGCAGAAACCCTCAACTGCCACAGAAGTTAATTTTGCAAACTGAGGTTTAAATAAAACCACCTTTATATATACAGTTCTACTAGCTCTTATGTTTTGCAACTCAAAAACAGGTATATCCAGTTAAAGCACTCGCAGGAAGACCCTGTCAGCCTGCAGTTAGCAGGACTAGTTATGAATGAGCCTGTACCAGGAAGGAGGCAGCCTGCATCACACTTGAAGCCCGCCTCGCTCGTCACAGGTGAGCACACTGCTCAGCCTGGGCTTGGAAGAGCGGCGTATCTGGGCCTGGCATGGCACCAACGCACCAACGCCGTGAGAACTAGGAACCAATCAGCGTCCTGACACCTGGGTGCCAAACCCCCAATCTGTGTACTGAGCGCCTCAAGTCTCTCCGCAACCTGTGGCTCTTCTCCTAGCACCAGTGGTAGCCAGAGAGACAGCTGTGACTGTTTCAAGCCAATGACTGAGCAGAAGACACAGAATCAGTGGAGGAAATGTGGAAGAGGAAATGAAGACAAGGAATTTGGGTTCACTTTAATTCAGGTTTGAAGGTTTTCCTCAGACAAATCCTGGCTTATTACCATCAGTATAAAATTCTGATTTATTCAGTTTCAACCTATGTCATATCAACTTTAATTTTCAAGTTTTCCTTCAGGCAATAATTTATTAAACTTAGAATAATGAGAATCAACCGTATAAATCAGGCCATTATAATGAAAGCCACACTACAATGAAGGTTCTTTGAGCTCATTTCATACTTTTTCTAATCCAATAAGCTCCATTATAACAAAATAAAGGAGCTACTTCCTCGGCACTGTGCTCTAGCCAAAGCTAGCTATTTCTGTTGAAGAAAATACCTTAACTCATAACTAAAATTTTATTAACATATTTCAAATCTAAAATACTTTGCCAACTCTATAATAGCCAAGATTTAGAAAAGAAATTGGGACTGACATTTTAACTAGAATATCACTAAACGTTTCTTTAAGACTTCTAAGTGTCAAAATGAAGATGACAACAGAAAAAAATTAAAATGTGATATATTTCAATGGCACCATCTAAAAGCAACTGGCTGCCATTTAAGAATGAAGTTGTATAAAGTTTCTTCTTCCGACCAAAAAATGATGATATATGAGTTGAAAATTCAGGTCACTTCTCCTAACATCGGTGAAGAAAAATCTAACATCTGTCTGCAAACTTCCTTCCAGGGGAACTTCGAAATACACGTTTCTATTTGCTCACACCAGAAAATGACCATGATCCAAGGCACTGCTGGGTCACAAGATACAAAGGCCTAACCCCGCCCACCTCCACTTCTGCTACTGACATGACTGCAAAGGGAAAGCAAAGTTCAAAGAATTCTTTTTTTTTTGTAACAGGGCCTCCCTATACTGCCCAAGCTGGCCTCCGACTCACAAACCTCCTGCCTCAGCTTCCTGTATAGCTGGGATTACAAGCCTACACCACAGTACCCAGACAAAAGACAAACTTTTCATTAAGTCTTAGGTGTTAAGGGGGGGGGGAGAGAATTTTTTTCTCCTTGCATTGCTCAATTTATTATCAATTTACTATTTCTTTTACCTCTCTCCTAAAACAAAATTTAGTATGTCATCTAGAAGCAAAGATTGCCCATTTACTATCCCTGATGACCCAGGACTAGTCTCCCACAGGTGCTTCCACAAGCCAAGGGTTGTGCTCGCTTCGCAGCATATATACAAGTCAAGGGTTACGGGCCCAGACAAAGCCAGAGACCACCCTAGATAGAGAGTTTTCAGTATGCGCCTAAACATCTTTCTTGAATGTGCACACCTTAACTTCACTCCAATGCCAAACAGAGGCGGTCTGTAGGCTCAGAGCTCTTCTGCACAGCAGGCTTGGTACCAACTCCAACCACATTTTCTGACAAGTCTTCCACATGAGGGTAGAAAAATCCATACCGGAAACACAAGGTGCCTAGTACATCTCAATGGAAGCACCACAAAACAAATGTGCATGTACACAATTCCCTTTAAAATGAAGTCACTCTGCATACCAGAGTCTACAGTGGTTGTCAACCTTGATGCACAAAATAAACACGTAGGGAGCTCTACAAAAATGCCAGTAATCAGGCCCCTCACCCAGAGTCTGATGACACCGTACACCCAGGGTTGAGAATCACTGCTAGGCATTCTGTTCCAGTAAGTCTACTCCACAATAAAAACCAATGCCTTCACTTCTTAAATAACATTTCTGAGTTTTTGTCTCTAAAGGTAAAACACACACCTATTTCTGAAGATTTGGAAACATTTTGGTACATTTTCTTCATATATAGCCATTTTACAAAACATCTTCATACTACATATGCAGCATCAGATCCTCTTTTTTAGTAATTAGTTATGGAATTTCCCCGAGGAACAATATGTGCCCCTTGAAAACATGATCTCCAGGCTGGGGTGTACTCTGTGGCAGAGCCTGAGGGACCAGGGTGGACACCCAGCACTGCCAAAAACACCAAGGACCTTTACTAGCCTCTGGTGTTTTCACTGACAAATGTTCAGTAAACAGTTCTGATTTTAACAGTGGAAAAGATCTGATACTCATTTTACATGTTTGTATTTGATGATCTATTTTAACTTTGAATATTATAAAGCAATCTAGAAGGTAGTTTAGCAACTTCTAATCTTAGAAGGTTAAGTTTAGCAACTTAGAAGGTAAATTATGGACATGCCTACTCTCAAGAGAGAAAAGTGAATGGCAACAAAAAGTTGAGAATAAATGAATACAAAGAATAGGAAAAATTATGGCTAAAACATTTAAAAGGATAAGGAAGCATTTAAGGACTGCATGAAGAAAGCCTAAAACAAGGTCCTTATTATCAAAAAACTTAAAATATAGTTAGGAAGATAAACACATAAAAAACTAAAAGCAACTAGTAGCATAAAAGGATATTAGAAGTAAAACTGTAAAATAATTATTAATACATGAGTAAGACAGAAACTTAAGAGTAAAGAAAGCTGAGGAACAGGGAAAAGCAGCTATCCAATACCAAGTTTTTTCTTCAAAGGGAGAGTGGGTAATATTGCTTGGTTATGTTATTCTTCCAGGATCGCGGCTACAAAACTGAAAGAATTACTGAAACATTAAATGCAAAAGTCAAATCACCTGAATATCATTGTCCTTATCACAAAGAGAAAAAGTAATAAAGGACAATGGAAACAGAACTAAATTACAAGACATGAAGTACAGAGAACTGATCGTAGCCTTAAACTTAGAAATGTAACTTGATCTCTTTGTATATGTAAGAAATACCTGCTTCCATCTATTTTTTTACTTAACAGTACAAGTAAAAAGGGAAAGGGAAAGGGAAATCTCACTGAAAAACAAATGAAATACTTCCAATTGCACTAAAGAAAAATATCCTAATTATAAGATAAAGTGTAACTTAAAAGAAGCTCAGAGCCAGGTGTGGTGGCACACACCTGTAACCTAGCATTCTGGGAGGTTGAAGAAGGGGGATCACAAGTTCAAGGCCAGCCTGGGTATTTAGCAACCTAGACTCGACCTCAGTATAAAAAATTAAAAAGGGCTCAGGATGTAGCTCCGTGCAAAGGCCCTCAGTTATACTCCCAATACTACAAACAAATTAGATAGATAGACAGACAGACAGATAATAGATAAGATACACAGGCAAGCAGGCAGGCAGAAGTACCTGGGTACTCATAGGTAACTGGTTCCAGAAGGTGTAGCAAGTACCAAATACAATACAAGTTGTTCTGCCTAGGAAGCAAGGGTATGAGTCGCACGTTGAGAAGGACCAAACAAACCCCGAGTACCAGACAAAACTTTCACATCAAAATACATTGAGTATCACATGCAACAACTCCCAGTGCAGTCTAGTACCAAGGTATGGCTATAAATGCACAGCCAGCCAGCCCAGGTCAGTAGAACAGCAGCGCCATCATTACACAGCGGCTCTGTTTACAAGGTGTGCCCCGCACTGCTCCTTGCAACCAACCGGAGGGGTCAGAGGTGACCAGGTCATTTGGACTTCAAACTTAGGAGAAGTCATAAGGGGGTTAGAGGGCCTGCTTTTCCTCTCACAATGGAAAGCTTCAGAAAATCCTATGAAGAAATTAATTTCACCCATAGATTTTAATCTGTTATTTCAGAAATAAAGTAGTATTTTGCAATTCCACATACATGGTCCAATTTAGTGGTAAGAATGTTAGTTTCTTTGACTTAACAAGCTGAATAGTTCAAAATGAATGTTATTCCAAAATGAGAAAGAAGAAAAATCCAAAATGAAAGAGTAACAATAAAAGGGAAATGGCTGGGCATGGTGATACAGGCCCGCAATTCCAGCTGACCTGGAGGCAGAGGAGCACCACCAGTTCAAGGCCAGCCTGGGTAATTTAGTGGGACCCTGTCTGGAAATTTCAAAAGAGCCTCAGGATGTGGCTCAGTGGCAGTGTTTACTTAGCATGCGCAAGGCCCTGAGCTCAACTCCTAATACTTCAGAAAGAGAAGAAAAAAACAGAGAGTAAGAGACAGAGAGGAGAGGAGGGACAGGGAGGGGACAAGACAGATCCTGACCCTAAACTTTAAAGTCTTCGCTTCACTTCCATGTCCCAGCACAAGGGGGTAAGCCAATTAGCTTTTGCATGATAAACAAATATAAAAGTAGTAAAAGTAGACAAAAGAAGAAATTTCTATTTTCAAAAACTAGACAACAGGCAGTTGAACACTATGGCCTCTAAAAAGAGGAAACAGAGTGGGTCCCAGGACGGCTGGAGCTTTTTCCTGGAGGCACTAGGACTAACAGGAGCACAAGGGAGACCAAGCACGGCTCACCAACAGGACCCTAACAGGAAAGCCAAATCACAAGATCAGAAAACTCTAAAAACCAATATTCCTTACGAACAAAGACACAAAAATCCTTAACAGAATATTAGCAAAACAATTCCAGCATAAGGTAAAAAAACTAACATGACTGGCGGGTGGGGGGCCACACATGTATCAATCAATCTCACCGCCACATTACTGAGAATAAAGAAGCTTAGACGCCACCTCCAAAGATGTACAGACAGCACTGAGGAAATGAACAGGCAAACTATTAAACGGGGGAAATATAAGCATAACACATGTATCTGAAAAGAATAACTCTTACTACTCAACTATGAAAGGCAAAACCATCCAGCTATTTTTTTAATTTAAAAAGAAAAAAAAGAGGCAACAGACTGAGGAAGCACTACACACACACACACACCCCAAAAAAGTATTCAAAATTATTAGTCACCAAGTAAATGCAAACTGAAACTACAATGAGACACCGCTACATGCCCGCTACAATGGCTAAAAGCCTAACAAATACACAACCCTAACAAAGGCAATCCCAGTGCTGGAGAGGACACGAAGCAATCACAATTTTCACGCATTATTGTTGGATCTGTGAAATGGCACAAACACTTTGGGAGCCTGTCTAGTACTTTCTTATAAGTTTAAGACATATACCTTCTCTACAACAGCAATTCAATTCCTGGATATTTAGCCAAGAAAAATAAAAGCCTACCCTACAAAACCACATGTACAAGAATGTTTATAAAAGCTTTATTCATAATAGTCCCAAACTGGAAATAACCCAGATGTCTATCCACAGACAAATAAAATGAAATAAATGATTGCTATACCAAGAGTACAGATGAACCTTTAAAACATTATGCTGAGCATAAGCAGTATATACAGTATAATCCCATTTATGTAACATCTAGAACAGGAATAATAATCCACAGAAAAAATATATATATATTCATATATATACATGAGGAGGTAGCAGTTTAACTTAAAAAAGGACACGGAATTTTGTGGCAATGGAAATGTTATATATCTTAACAGGAGAGAGAATTAAACAGTTACAGGCACTTGTCAGAAGTCTTCAAACCGTTTAATATCTATGTTTTTCCCTATAAAAATTATGCCTCAATAAAGAATCACTAAAACAATTCTGGTCTAAAAAAGTAAGCTCCTAAAGAGTGAAAGATACTTATTTTTTTTTTTTTCTTGGTAACGGAGATCGAACTCGGGTCCTTGAAGATACTTCTTTTTAAAAAGAAAAAAACAAATAAAAAAATTTTTGAGCTAATTCTAATTCCTGAGTTCTGCAGCCTTTAGGGAAAAAAAAGAGGAAAGGAGAGTCCCATGTAAATTTCCCCCAAATTACACATTCTGCTTGCTCTTCTATCTAACAAAAACATGCTCATCACATACATAAAAGAACTCTCCGGAAGAGGCGATACAGACATTGGTAAGGAAAAAGATGCGTAATTGTTTTAAAAAACAAAAACAGTAGTAAAAATGAGTATTTTAGTTCACTGGTCTAGAAATTAATCTGGGTACTCAAACTGCTTATGTCAGATGGGATGCTATCAATCTCTAATCATTATAAACTGACCTGAACATTAGTATAGCAAAGAAGGCTCAACAATCATGAATAAATAGTCTAATTTACTAAAGTTAAACTGGATGGGGCAGGGAAGAAAACCAGGAATAAACAAAAAGAAACAAGTTGACCAAGTGGAAGCCCAGAACTAAATGCAAAATAAAATATAATAAAATTACATTAAATTAGGGGCAGGGGATTTAGCTCAGCGGTTCTGCCACCTGCCTGGCAAAGTCTCAAGTTCGATCCCCAGTACAAAAAAAAAAAAAAATTGCATTAGGTTAGTATGGCCTTGCAGGATATAAGTATGAAAAGTATCTCATCTAAATAGCAGAAATGAAGAATGAGCTGTTTTATTCCCCATCTGCAGGACTTCTGCACTTTCATGCACTCATCCGCAAACACCAGTGCCATTCTAACTCAAAAGAGGCCACAGGGACTTCTTGAACTTAAATCTTTAAAACTACAAAGCTACTTTCCAGCCATGTCAAGTATTTATGAAACATTATTAAAAATGTAATACCTTATGGTTTAATTAATTCTATTTACCAAAAAAGATGTTTTACAAAATAAATACTATACTAATTTCTGATGAAAAAAGAAAAAAAGCATCTGAAGTATTTTCTTACCACTTTTGCAACACAGGGTGCATCACTGCCAACCAGTTTTGAAGAATTTGTATCAGCTGTTTAAGAAGAGAAATATGCAATATCAGAGCGAGCAGCATTATAAATCTTACAGTAATATTTAGATTGGTGTATCTGTAGCCCCTTAATAGAATAATTCAGCACCCAGGTATGTGTTTCAGCATACCAGTAGAGAATATTTCCTCAATTTTAAGACTTTTACCCATGCTTTAACATGTGAAACTGGAATGCATCTCAACATTTCTGGTTGCTTCAAATTGATCATCAATTAACTACAAGAAACCCCAAGTTAAACACAGTTAAATATTTAACACAAAAGTGTCCGTGGTGTTTAATAGCCTTATGTGTATTGTGAATTTCCCAGGAGAAGATAACTGATACAATTTCCTAAACTTAACAAACTAAGAAGGAACACCTAGAAGAAAAGAGGAAGTCCAATCCCAAAACCATTAGTTTGGGAAAAACGCATCCACACCAATACCTTAGGCACTAGAACTTTAAACTGGCTTCCAGAACAATTTTAATGTTGATGTCTTTTATTTCATACAAATAAAGAGGCAGTGCTGCCCTGGAATACTGAGTTAGGACTACAAGGCTGCCCATAGTCATTAACTAATATTTACCAAATCGCTACAATATGCCAGTTTCTAGGAAATAGGGATTTAGGACTGAGCAGGAAAAGACAATCCTCACTCTTCCGAAACTATTGTTTGAGTGGAAATACACAAAAAACAAATCAAATACAAAATACGTCTGATGGTGATTAAGTGCGATAGAGGGGAAAATAAGTAGGAAAGGAAGGCTAGCAGTGTTTAGTGCAGGAAGACCCCTCACTGCCAAGGTAGAACAGGAAAGGACATTACAGGCAGACCGCACAAAGGCCCTGACATGGGAGCATGAGCGACCTGTTTGGAAAGACAGCAGGGGAGAAAATGCGACGTGAAAAGTCTCAGCAGCAGGGACTGAGCAAGAGGGTCTTTGTGGGTGACATCGAGGTTCTGGCTTTTACTAACATGACAGGACGAGAGGGGGAGCCTCCAGGAGGGGGCCGACCTTGATTTTCAAAGACTTCTTTGGGCTGCTTTTGGAGATCAATATACAGTGGCCAAGGGCAGAAGCGGGCAGACTGGGGAGGAGGCGCTGGCAGTAGCCCAGGTGAGAGACGGTGATGGCCTGAACCAGCGAGGGAGCAGACAGGCAGGCAGACTGTGGCCACCTACATGAAAAGGAGAGCTAATGGGATCGGCTGACAGGTCAGAGGTAAGGGCATGAGGTAAAGAAAAAAGGAAGTGTGAATGCCTCTAGTTTTTTAGCTTAAGCACCTGGAAAGAGGAAGCTGCCATTTACTAACATGGAGAGAATGCCAAGCTTTGGGGTATCTTAAGTTTGAGGTGCTTATTCAACATTCAAGTTCAGGTATAAACCAGGCAGGTAGATATACCAGTCTTGAGTTCGTAAGAGCAGTCCATGTTGGGAAAATATATTTGAGGCCATCACCACAGAAATGCTATTTACTTAGCCCTAAGACTGGAAAAGATTCCTGAGTGAAATGAGTGGAGGCAGAGAAAAGGAGAAATCTAGGACTGAACCCTAAGGCACACTCACATTTGAAGTCAAAGAGATGTACCAAGAAGGTGATGGAAACCAAGAAACTACCAATCAGCTGGGAAGCAGCAGTATACAGAAGGCTACAGCTGAAACACCTCAGGCTAGAGAAGAAACACCACTCATAAAAATGGCTAATATGGGCAGATGAAGAGGCCTGAGCCGCATAAGCAACAGCCCCCAGAAACATCAGATACTGAATAAAGAATAAAGCAGGTTCAGATTTTTGAACAAAATGTGAAAATGAAGGCAGCATCCCAACATGAGAAAATGAGGAAAGAGGAGATGGAAAGGAAGCTCAAAAATGCATTCAAACAATATGTGGTGCAAAATACGCCAGGTACAAGGAAAACAAGAAGAGATGTCCCATTGTCAAATTTATTCTGCAATTAAGAAAAGCAATCTCAGCGCAGTGTGGGAAGAATTATGAAAGAGTAACCCCAAGGGCAGCATGTTCCTACGCTACCACCCTAAATGTAGCTTTGGGGAAAAACAGCAGCAGCAAGATCACATAAAATCAAGATCTCAAAGAGGTATCCGCAGTGCCGTGTTCACTGAAGCATTGCATACCACTGTCGAGATACAGAAACAACTTAAATGTCCATCAAGGAGAGGGATGAATACTTCGCTGATGTGCAAACTCATTAAATTGTACAGTGCTTTGTATCACAATTATATTTCAATAAAGCTAAAATGTTTCAAAGGTTTAATAAGAACAGTATAAATATCCTATTCAGTTTTATTTTAACTATATGTTGAAATGGTTTACACTCGACATTAGTTAAAAAGTATCATTACATATTTTTTTTAAAACATCACGTACAGAGATCAAGAGGCAAAGGGCAGTGTGGTGGCTGAGGCACAGATTCTGAGGTAAAAGAGATGAAAACGGAAGCCATGTGTAAGGGGCCTTGTAAAGAAGAGTTCTTTGCCAGTCTTAGAAGTTCACTTCTTCACGGGTACTGGGGAACCACTGAAGGTTTATCCAGGATGGTCCCATGATCTGACCAGCACATTAGGTCACTCGAGCCGCAGTGTGAATGAGGATGCACAAGGGCAAGAACGGGGCAGAGGAGAGGCACCATTGCAGCACAAAAGACAGGGACTTGACCCGGCCTGGATGCACCTGAGAAGTCACAGGGGAAAGCAACGGGACTAGAGGAGGTGCTGGGGAAAATTCAACAATGTCTTCCCAGTTTCCTGCGCTCAGATAATCCTCTCCTAACCGTGACTCGATCCGCAATGACGGAGAACACACACTTCATACATGCCTGTGGGACATCCAAGCAGAAATCTGTCGGAGCCCTGGTTACAGATAAAAAGCATGGAAATCAACAATAGGAAGTAGCAACAGCAGCCTCGAGACCTGATGAGGTCACCTGGAACACAGAGGAGGAAAAGAGAGCCAGGAAGGAAGACTGAAGAACACAGAAGTGCCCAGAAAGAAGGCTAAGCACAGAGAAGAGCTGTTACCATGGGAGACAAGGTATGCAACTGGTATGGGCAAGATTAACAGTATCAGATGCTCCCGAAAAACCCCAAAGAAAATTCCAAGGCAATCTTTGAGGCCCATTAACAGAAACTGCTGATAATTTTAAATACAGCAGCGTCTGTGTAGCAGTGGCCACAGAGCGATAAACCGAAAGCAGCAATATTCAAGTACATCCCTCCTCCAGGGTGACCAACCCAGGTTTTATTATACAGAACTGTCAAACCACTGGGTATTAAAAAGTTACTATTAGGTGCACCTTTTAATAATAATGAAAGCAAAGCAGCAAATACACACCCAAAACAAGTTCCAAATTTATAAAATGCTACAAAAACAAATTGATGCAAAATGAAAGTCGTCTTGTTCAGAGCCAAGTTCCCGTCAATATGTCCTCATCCACACATCCTGCCACAGGCAGCTTCTATAATACACCACTTCCCCTAAGTCACAGGATCAAAAGTAATGCCCAGCTAATATAATTTTTCAACATACGGCTTAGTTTACTGGAATGGGCTTGGTTCTATATAAGACAAACATGTATTTCCCCAAAGGCAAATGTCACCAGCCTACAGGAGTCATGTGTATGAAGCACTAAGCTACGGTTTGGGTTTTGGTTTTGTTTTGCAGAACTGGGGATTGAGCCAGATTTAAGTGAGTTGCACCACCAGCCCTTTTTATTTTGAGAGAGGGACTCACTAAGAAGCTAAGTTACCCAGGCTGGGCTCAAACTTGCAACCCTCCTGCCTCAGCCTTCCAGGGTGCTGGGATTAGAGCGCCACCCTGCTCAGCTAAACTATTTTATGAAAACAGTTCCAGAGATTCCAGCTGTTCAGCTACAGCCCACAGGTTACGGAGAAGGTTAACTGAGCTGCTCTTTCGTCTGTGCCAGTGATTTTCAAACCTCAGCACAGGTCAGCATCACCTGCAACACTTGTTCAGATGTGGCCCTAGCTTCTGAGGGGCAGGTCTGGTGCTGGGGCCCACAGATTTGCATTTCTAAGACATTTCCAGGTGATGCTAATCTATACTGCAGCATTAGTATTCTCAGTAAGACGGTGCTTGAAAGAAAAAAAAGAAAAAGAGTTCAACTGCTAAAATGAAAATTGTATAAATTTCCATGGCAGAAATAACCAAATAGTTAACTAATTAAATTGAGATTAGAGGTGAAGTGAGAACACAGAATTAAAAAGGGAAGTATCAAAAGCAAATATGAGTTGCAATGTATTCCTAACATTCTTGGTGAAGCAGACAGCTTTACAAGCAAGGTAAAATATTTTTTTAAATCAATAATTTAGTTAAACCTACAGAATTTCAGGGTCCTACATGGGTCTCCAAAAATTTCAAGAAAAGTGTGCTAATTAATGGTACATTTGATTAGGCCTAATATGCAGTTTCTAGGTAACTCTTCTAATCCCATTATAGTGACTTTTAGGGTTGTAGAGAAAGAAAAAGAATCTGTAAAACTAGTCAAAAACAGAGGGATGAAATTATAATTGGGTGAAGGAAGAAAGATATGCATGGTTTCTTTTGAGTCTCAAAAAATATTGAGATCATATGAAATCTTAAAAATCTAAAGCCATAGTGATCACCAGCGACATTATTAGATATTTGTCCCCCTTTTCCACTGTGATTAAATGAGTAATCTGCTCTTCTACTCCTGGCAGAGATGCATTTTTACCTTATCATACAATATCAGGTTGACTGCACATTATTACAAACATCCTGTAATAGCACAAAAATGAAAACCTATTTTGATTTTTTAAAAAGCATAAAAATACTTTGGATTGAGGATTAGAAGTAGTCATACACTTACCAAGATATATACAGCCAAAGCCACCCTGGCCGATAGGTAATCCTAGCTTCCACTCCTTTTTTGACATGTCAGTTATTATCTCCCCAGCTGCAAAGTGTTCCGCAAGATGTCTCTTTGCAGGCCCCTGTCTTCCAGCTTGAGCTGCTTTTACACGAGGCATTTTCACTATAATACAGAACAAAGTGACATGTATAATCTTAGTGCTCAAAACATTTTTCCCTCAGGAAAGCTTCTATGCAACAGAGAAGCTAGTCAAATTCCTACCCACCCCAAAACTTAAGTAAAGAACATCTATTAATCCAGATTTATAGTGGCTCAAATCCTATTTGATTATCTCAGCTTTGGAATTGAGATAACAAATAAAATGATCTATGATTCAAGAAAACTTAGTTTTTGGTTCCAGTGGCACATCACCTGTGACTAAACGCTATTTAATAATTTTAAAAAGTGTTCTCTTCAGTTGAGGGGAAAGGAGCCTACAATTACATTGCACATTTATAATAATGCAAAGAGGAGTTGATAAAGGACAATAGTGACATGGTGGTAAGTACACGGTACCGAGGGAAAACACGATACCAAGGGAAAGGCCACAGGTTACTCAGGTCGCAAGAGTAGATGCTTTACACGGGCTCCCTTCACCCTCAAGACCGTACATCATCTCCACTTAATAAATAAGGAACCTGATCCTTAGCAAGCTAGTTATTTGGTGGGGAACATCAGAAATTTGCACTGACTGTCTGATTCCAAAGCCTCACCAACATGCTCCACCTTTCAGGAGTGACAAGGAGAAACAGTGTCTGTCTGGTGATTTGAGTTCACAGAAAAACAGCAAAGGTGGTGACACTCAGCATTCCTGTCCCCCTCTCACTAGCTATCCTGTAAGAGATGAATCTCAATTCACTCTTCTCTTTTCTCACCCCAACAGCAGTTTAACATAACATTCAGAGAAAGCAGCGCTGGGGAGGGGGTGCTGAACTAGGATCAAAAGACTTGGTGGATGCCAGTTATGACACCAGTTAGCTGGCTAAGTTTGATCAAGTCACTTCTCTCCTAGCTTCCAGAGCCCTCAGCTATAACTCTTGCTTGTGGAAAGGAGCTCAGTTAATATTTGTGTGCGTGCACACACGTGTATGTGTTGTATGATTTCAAACACTCAGATACATAAGTACTAACTGAAAGGGTTGACTTAGCATTCTGTAATTCCCTAAAAGTGAAGCAGAGATACAGCAGAGACAGGAGACTGGTAAGAGTTAAATTTGTCTGCAATTCTTGAAATGGTTATTTAAATGAAAGAAGTCTGTTAAGATGTGATAGAAATTTACATTATATAAGCAGTTCAGTTTTGAGCCTAGATACTAAACATATACATACATTAGGTTGAAAATTTTTAACCAAATACCTACATTACCACTCTGCAACACATTCCATATATGCAAATACTGTAAATGTTCTGTACTCATTTACTGGGAAGTTTTTATTTAATTTTTTCCCAAAGAATACATAATGTACCTCTGCTATCTAAATCTTCTCTCAGATAACAAAAACATCTTAAAAATAAATGTACAATGGCTACTTCTTCATATCAATTTATTCTGGTAATTACTGTGCTTTCAGTACTTGGTGGAATTTTCCTGAGCTCAATTTTAGTGCCAAGCATGACAGCCCAGACTCAAAACAACAAAAAGGGGAACCTGTACGCTTCCCAATACTAAAATGGATCTCTTCTAAAGGTCATCCAACTTTTTCAAATCACCAGAATAATCTCCCATTTGATTATTTCCTAATAGTAGTCACAACACTTTAAAATAAGTTAATTTTTTTTCTGTCGCCCAAAATAGTGACTAGACAATCTTTTGCGTCTTTCTGGAATTCTTTTCCAAAAGTAAGAAAAATACCACATTTTACCTTCAGATCATGCTAAGTGAAATAACCCTGACACACAAGCTTAACTATCACATAGTTTCTCTTATATGGGAAACTCAAAGTACCAACAAATCAAAGAGCAAAGTGAAAGACAGATGATGGGAAACAGGGGGGAGACCTTTTGCGGAGGGCCAAGAGATGGAGCGAGGGGCAGAGGGAGGGGCAGAAAGAGCAGAACAGAGAAGTTTTATGTAAATGTGCCAGTTCCCCACAATGAACATCATCATTATGCACTACAAACACGTACTAAAAAAATTAAAACTTTTATTAATAAATAAAATAATCTGGCTCAGTACTTATTCAATATAAAATTGTGGTCACAAGAGTGTTTTTCCTGCAAATAAAGCTGTTTGCTTTTATTTTTAGCTTTATTCCTGTGGCCAACTAAATGAAACTAATTGTAATAATTAATTAAGACTTGGAATGCTTTTCTTTCCTAAAAATAGTTCCACAGAACAGCATCATCACGGTCAGTCTACTGAATACTCCTAAATCCTGCTCCAGCGTTTGACGTAGAACACAATCGGGGCAGCGGCACAGTGTTTAATCTCCCCAAATTCGGCCCCCAAAACCAGACAAGCCCAAAGGAGCGCAAAACTCACAAACCACATGTAATCTACCAGCGGGCAGTATTCTCTTCCCACAAACCCCAAAACTTGAGTGGGTAAAGGCAAACTAGGCACAACTCTCAAAACTAAGCAGCCAACATGTGCACCAGATCAATACCTCGCGCTGAAGGAAACTACTGGGGATATAATCCAAAGTGAGAATCACAGGATAGGAAAGGGGAAAGTTCAAACAGAAGCAGATTTGTGAGACAGTACCCAGATTTGGAACACTGTATAAAAAGAGGGAGCTCTAGAGAAGGAAAAAGTCAACCTGAACCACACCAGAAAAAACTGTACATAAAGGAAAATTAATGCAGTCCATCACAGCAACCAGAAGGAATCAAGGCCTACTCCCAGAGTGGACACTCAGCAAGAAAATGTCCCTTCAGAAAAAAACTCCTCCCCCAAAAGTTAAGAGCTACAAATACTTCAAGACAAGAAATTTATCATATAGAAGAAACTAAAATGAGTAAGAATTATGGGCTGGGGATGCCAGCACCTGCCTGGCAAGCACAAGGTCCTGAGTTCGATCCCCAGTACCAGAAGAAAAAAAAAAGAAAAGAAAAGAATTAAAAAAACTAATGAGGTGGTCAAAGAGAATAATTACAATAAAAGACAAAGGACTAGGTATATAGTCAGCAGTAGAGGATGCGCTTGCTGGCTGTGTTCAATCTCCAGTACAAACACACAGAAAAGGCAAAGTTATTTCAGAAATGAAATAAAATAAATAAATAAAAAGGAACATACATTGAATATAAATCATTAAATACATTTTTGCTTGATAAAGTTTGCTGGGTTGTGTAGCATTTTATAATTTTAAACATTAAAAAATTACTAAAATTAACAATGACCAAAGTGTCTAAACTGGAAGAAATCTTCACACTCAGTAAGCCTGCCTCAACCCTACCCTCCACAAAAAGGAAAAAAAGGAAAAGAATTTCTAACCAAAACCTGTAGTTCACATCCTGTAAACTATTAGTAATCTTTGCTTACTCTTCTTCTGGGTTATTAGTTTTGCTTTTTATTTATAGGCAATTCTTACAGATTATATATTAAAGAAATGAGCTCTTTATTTTATGAGCTCTTTATATTGCAAATAATAGTCCCAACTTATTTGTCTTTTGACAGTGATTACTTTTACAGCTTTTGGATTTCATATCGCCCTTAGAAATACCTCCCAGTCAAAACAAAAATTTTTTTTACTATCTCCCCATTTTTTTTCTGGTTATTTTATGGCTCATTTTTTCCTGGTAAAATTTTGATCTGTCTACCTTTTCTTCCTCTTTTTCTTTTCCGTCACAGCTAGGTCTGCTCCACGTGAATGTTAAGAAACCACTGTGGTTTCACCGCCTGCTGCGCAAGCGCAAGGACCCGAGTTCCATTCCCGGTACCAAAAAAGAAAAAAGGAAACCACTGAACCGCACTGCAGCTCTGACATGGACCACTTCAACCCAGTACATTACATTCCTTCAAGACAAACTCCCAGCGAGCAGAGTCCTAATGGAAAAAGATGCGGCCGCCTCAGGCCAACAGCTCCTGCGCATTCACAGGCGGGCCTCGGACAGCCAAACAGCCACGGCAGAGCTCAGGGACAGCTTCTGCTCAGTGGGGGGACCAATTAAACACCGTGCACTAACTTCTCTCTGCAAGTACTGAGGGACACAAAAGAATGAAAGAAACGCCGCTGGTATACTGCACCCGGTACAGGTCAGTTGAACATGACATACAGTCCTAGAAAAAGGTTATATTTCGTGATAATGACTCTTTAATATACTGTTGGATTCCATTTGTTATTATTTTATTTAGGAACAAAATTGATATTTGTAAAACTGGTCTGTAGATTAAATTGTTTCTATTATATTTCTGATGCCAATATTTGCTCACCCCCCCAAAAAAAAAACACATCTTGGAAGCTTTTCTTTTATTATAACCTAAAGCATTAAAACATCATTTGAGTGACTATTCCTTAAAGGCTTTAAAGACCTCAACTGTGAAAGTCTGACAGTACCAAGTGTTGGTAAGAAGGCAGAATGGGAACCCCCATACATTGTACATACCATGCCAATCATTTTGAATAATCTGCTTGACATTAGTGCTAACCGACCCAGCAATTCTCCTTCTATGTCTGTAACTAGGACAGATGAAAACATGTCCACCAAAGGACATGTACAAGAATAACAGGGGCCAGGGATTTAGCTCAGTGGTTCCACCACCTGCCTTGCAAACACAAAGACCCAAGTTCGATCCCCGGCACCAAAAAAAAAAAAAAAAGAACGAATAACAGCAGCTTTATTCACACACTGGAAACCCACATGCCCATGAATAGGAAAATGGAGGAAGCTCCGGAACACTATGTGAGAAAAAGAAGCCAGACACAGAAAGATACACTGTATGATTCCATTCATATGAGCATCAATAATAAAGCCAGTCACTGGTGACAGAGGTCAAACAGCAGATATCCTTTCCGGAAGGAAATGAGTAAGAGTTGGAAGACACCATGTGGAAAGGTTCCTGGGGATCTGGCGATGTTCTACATCTCATTCTTCCTGTTACTTAAACTGTCCATTCACTTTGTAAAAATTAATACACTTATAGTCATTTCATTTATGTATAATTAAAAGTGAATTACACAAA